ATGTGTACAGTGTAATAATAACTGAAAAAACGAGTCTTTGTTGACTAACCTGAACAGTTTTGTCTCCAACCACAAGCCCATGAAGAGAACACCAAACAAGAGCATCATACACCATTTTCTGAATCAATTTCTCATCAATACCATGCAGATCAATAATAATGGGTTTAGCGGCAACACCCTTCTGAGCATCCATTGCTCTCACCCTTCCACACCTCAAAGGCGCAATCTTTGGTGTGGAATAAGTAATTGATGATCTCTGTTTTGTGGGAAAGGCAGCTTTGTGCAAGTGGGCACTGAAGATAAGGTTTGATTTTGATTTTGGTTGTGATTTCAATGTGGTTGCATCTGTAATGATAGGAGAGAGAGGGGTGCCAATGGAAAGAGAAAGGGAGGTATGGACAACTCCCATTTTTTGACTCTTTTCTGGTATCCTCAAAAAACGTGACTTTTTTAAGATCTTGACAACCTTGCAAGGGGGGATTTTTGATTTGTTTACTGGTCAGATCTTGACAAAAAACAAAAAATAAAAAATGCAAAGGTGGGGGCTTGGGGGCACATTTTTTTTTTTTTTTTTGAACAAGTTGTGAAGGGACGAGTTTCGAGCTCACCCATTGGTGGAAAATACACCTCAAATTAGCAGAATGTCAGTTGATTCGAAAGGTCAGGTGTTTTAGGGACACATTTTTAATTGATTTTAAAGACAAATGTTTTATATATAGTTTGAATAGCACAAAATTAACTACTCCAATTTAACATTAGTAGGAATAGTTCTTTTAGTCAGTAAGATAACAATGTAATAATTAATTATAAAATTTTGTATTTATTTGTAATTAATCATTATATAAATAAGTTTTTTATTTAAAAAAATATTGTATAGTATAGATTGTACAATAAGAATCCTTTTATATAATATATATTAATTATATTTACAATCTTACATAATATTAAATAAAATATGACAGATATTAAATAAATAAATATATATAATATCACATGTAAATCTTTGAATGAAAAAACTTAATGACGCATATCTTATAAACTTACAATGTTATGATGCATTATAATTGTAGCATTATGTATAGCATTTTCAAAAGTTAAAATAAGAATAATTCCATTAAATAATACCTGAAAAAGAAAAAATAATTAAAAATTAAAAATTAAGTCCACTAAAATTAAACAAAAAGAGTAATAAATAAGATGAGATGAGTCCAAAACATAGGTCGAGGCTTTATTTCATTTGATGGCCTTAGTCACTAAACTATAAAATGAAAAATCTTTTTAAAGAAACTAAAGTAATAGTATTTTTTAAATTTAATAATTTTTGTTAACTTTTAAAAATTTTACAATTAATTTACATAAATCGATGATTCAACATCCTTGTAAAACCTCTACTCATAACCTTGAAATAATGGTCTTGTTTCCAAGTCAAAGTTTTGAATTAGTAGATAAGAGTTCATTAAGTTCTTGTTTGTTCTTCCTTATTAGCCTTAATTACCTTCTCCAGCATCAAAATTTTCAAAATCCACATTCTTGTTCACAAACATTAACATAACCATTTCATGATGGGGTTTCCAAACTTCGATTTTTAATCTATCTCTTTACTATTAGACTTAAAAGCTCTTAGACTCAAAAGCTCTTGTGACTAATTTCAATCAATTAAATAATAAATATTAATTATTTTATCAATTATCATATATTTTTAACAATTAAATTAAGAGAAAATTTTGACAATTTTTGATAGCATTAACAAATTTAATGATGATGGCCATACAAAATTATTATGGTTACATAATCTTTTGAATATTATCTTTAAAAATATTAATTTTATTTTATTTAATGGTTCAAAACTATTGTTGAATGTTATAAAGATTAATTAATATTTGATAAAACAATCAATAATTATTGTATCAAGGAATTTATAACATGTACATTTAAGGCATCGATTAAGAGTATATGTATTGTATCTTTTATTATTAATTTGCTCGAGAAAGAGATATAAGTGGACCTAAATTTTATTAACAGTTTAATTAAATTGTTTCACATGGTATTGATGTTAAAAATAAGATTTACTTTTATAATTTTCATATAAATTAATGATAAAAATGTAATAAATACTTCATTAATTTTAAAAGAACCCTTACTGTAGTAGTTAACAAAACAAAATAAATCTAAAATATAATATTTTTAAACACTATAACCACCTGCTTAAGAAAATAAAAAACTAATTATCAATTATTATATATTTTTACCAATTAAATTAAGAGAAAATTTTGACAATTTTTGATAGCATTAACAAATTTAATGATGATGGCCATACAAAATTATTATGCTTACATAATCTTTTGAATATTATCTTTAAAAATATTAATTTTATTTTATTTAATGGTTCAAAACTATTGTTGAAAGTTATAAAGATTAATTAATATTTGATAAAATAATTAATAATTATTGTATTAAGGAATTTCTAACATGTATTTTTAAGGCATCAGTTAAGAGTACATGTATTGTACCTTTTATTATTAATTTGCTCGAAGAGATATAAGTGGACTTAAATTTTATCAATAGTTTAATTAAATTGTTTCACATGGTATTGATGTTAAAAATAAGATTTACTTTCATAATTTTTATATAAATTAATGATAAAAAATGTAATAAATACTTCATTAATTTTAAAAGAACCCTTACTGTAGTAGTTAACAAAACAAAATAAATCTAAAAGATAATATTTTTAAACAC